TATTTGAACTTAAATAATCGTGTTCACACAAACAAATTGATTGACTATCATCACCATTCATCTATCACATATCCATCGGCTTTTAAAGCCGATGGATGCGTTGGCTCATTGGTGAACTCACCGCTGGAAAAAAGAATGATTGACACATACAATCGTCTTTCCATCACTTAATTTACGATCGGTTTGCTGCAAGCGCTGGATACAGCACTGAATAAAAGAACACACCTACACCTACCTCTACTTTTATTGGTACTTGATTTCAAGAACATTTTAATAATAAATTTAAATAAATATTTTGTTTTATTTGAAATTTTCATGTCTCGATTGAGATTTTACTATAGCCTTAATTTCAGCCTCTCTGTATTACATTATACAATGTGTGTCCACGGATGGACTTAATTATACTTGTAAAAATATTTATTTTAAATTAAAAAAAAGTTATTTTTCATAATTTCTCAATGTGAATCAAATTTATTTAACAAGCAAAAGAAACTATGAAGAATTACTTCTTTAATTTAAAATAAATATTTTCACAAGTATAGTCCGTGGACACACTGTATAATGCTGTAGAACTAATTCACATTATAACATCAATAGAACGTTTCAGAGCAACTTTCGGGGTAAGTAACGTGAAAGTGCTAGTGTGATGTATCTCGAACTTCACTTTGTAACTTCTGTGAGATGTGCTATAAAAGTCTTGCTGTTGCGGACATTCGGGGGTTGCAAGCATATTAGAGTTACATTAAAAGTACACATCGCATGGGAGCTTAAAGAGCCTTAAATTGCAGCTTACTAACGTAGGTGGGATGTTTTTGTGCTAGCTGGGTACCTACCTACATTATTCTTCAAAATTCTTAATATAAATCATGTTCCTGAAAACACTACTAGATCAGTTTCAATTCTAATTGGTTTAGTTGCATGAATCCATATGGTTCTATCTGTTAAAGATTTTCACAGGTATTGTTTAGATCTTCTACATCTTTTAACCATATTAATATCCCTGTTCTTCCTGGTTCCATTGCAACAATGGCAAACTCACCGATTCTCATTTCATACTTGTTCCCTAAAGTGATTTGATCATCTATGTAGTTCTAGCTCGAGGATATTATTTCTATTACCAATATCTCTTTTTAGTTGTAGTACTTATAAGTTATAAAAAATCAATAGAGCAGTTTTAAAAATTTTTCTTTCCACTATAAGTACTTTAGAACTAATCCTTTATCTGCTATTTATGTAGGTAGTATCGGATAGCATTACTATGAAATAAACAATAAACGTTCATTCCTGAAGACACAATATGCTTCACGTTTCCATTTTTATATTTTCTTTCATAAAAAATCAAATTATGTGTGAATTTTCCCGAAGTACATCGCCCACAAAAGGAATAGAAGAAGAATAAGAAGAAAAACTAATCAAATTATAGGTTAAGTATGTTAAATTATCCCAAATTTCAGTTCTGTGAACCCACCATAATTTGCCCAAATCGGCCAGAAGCGTTGGTCTCCTTGGTGGAACAATTTTTTAGTACGTTAAATATAGCCTATATCCTATCCAGTAAAATAATACAGATCAATGACCAAACTCGACAAACTCGTTTCATAATTTCGTGCTCGGATTTTGTATTTATTCTGTATGTATTTATTCTGTAACACCTATTTATCTTTCTGTGAATTTTGTTTTTCGTAATAAAATTCATCAGGAAAAAACGGACTATTTCCGACGCTTTGTACGAATATGTTTTGGAAGCTGACACATCGCATAAATTTGTTTTTATATCTGCTTCTATCATGTTTTTAGTCAAATTTATTTTAATTTTTTTCTTGTGATTTTTTGTTTAATTAGTAACATTAGTATTAGAATAATGTTATCGCTTTTGGTTTTTAATAAATAGGTAATTGTTTTTTAAAAATACTTACCTTATACCAGCATCAGTTATTACCAAGGACCGGAAAAAATGTTAGTTTCATTTTTTCCATAAATTAAGAAATGTTGCATTTTTCAAATTTTCCACACATTTGGCATTTTTTTTTTATAAATTCAGAAAGGTTGCATTAATCCTCTATTTTCAATCCCAAAGGTTCACGTCCAAGTAAAGTATCAGTCCAGTGGCGGCTCGTGGTAATTTGAAATGGGTGTTCACTTTTTCCAATCTTTTATCATTTTTGTAAGTTCGGTCCAAAACTTTGTACAAGAGCCAATATCGCTTTGTCTGTGAATTCATAAACTATCTGTAGAGACGGCAACACCGCATCTAAAAGCTGGAACTGAATTCAAAATTCGCCAAATATATATATACACAATATTTATTGTTTGCCGTTCTATGAATAGATCGGAGAATTTAGCGTGGGGGTAATTCTGTAATAGTTATTGGTTTAGGCAACCGAACGAATTTTTGGCGACTGGTGCGTCATCTGGCATATCCAAACGTAAAAGAGGACCGTTGGGGGCAGCACCTCCCGGTGCCCTCTGAGATTTTTAAGCAATGTTCAATTTTAGAAAAAACTACTTACTTTTTTCAAAAATGGTAAATACACAAGTTGTTTAGTGGCAAATGAAGAATGGCGGATGATAACATATTTATACGTATATGACTTTTTTTATATTTTTTTCATTTTATTTTTTTTTTGTTTACAAAAAAGTTATCATGCGCCAATTTACGATGCATAAGAAGCTCGGATACAAAAAAGGATTTTTTTGGTGAGTATTAAGCCCGCAATTTGAACATTAACATTTCCAATATGGCGGACGGGCATAGAACCCTCTTAAAGTTTTTATTTTACACTCTTCTTTCGTTCTTTGAATAACAAACAAAGCCATGATTCAAAAGATTAGCCGTATGTTTGAAAATATTGTTGAAAACTCAATATAAATTTACACTATTGTAACAAACTACATGTACACATTCAAAAGACAAAATAATTAAATAATGTTTTCCTGTGACGGGAAAAAAATTTTACATTTTATCTCTCTTGTCAGGTAACAAAATGTCACTTTTTATGAAATTATTTTTTTCTCTGTTTCCCGGGAGAAGTTTCTCCGGGAAAAAAGTGTATTTTTTTCCCGGATATATATACACATAAGTAAAGGTAGATATTTTAGAATATTTTTTTCAATATTAAATCGTCGTTTTTCCCTTACAATTTACACATTAATGACAGAGTGGCTAAAAATCACGCGGCAATCAAAACGCTTTACCCCCTTCTCAATAGGAGAAGTCGAGTCACTCTGTCAAACAAATTTCTAATGTTTAAATCAATCCTACGTCCTATTCTCACATATGGTTTTCCAGTTTTTTGCTCAATGGCAAACTGTCATTTCAATAAATTGCAAATAGCACAAAACAGGTGTCTTCGGCTAGCCCTGGGCTATGATCGTTATGCCAGAATCACAGTAATGCACCGACAAACTGACACATTAAAGAATACATACTAAAAACAGCCGATGATTTCTACAAACGATGTCTCCCCGATGATGTAAAGGATAGTATACTAAACATACACCGAGGGGACGGAGTGCGTAGAAAGCACGGCTGTATACCCGCAAAACTTAACATATACAGAGACAGACGACAATAAATTCAGACAGTAACTGACAACATTCCTCCTTAACGATCCCAGACAAACTAACAACAGCTCACGACGATTAGGTATTTAATATAGTAATTATTCTGGGATACTGGTCGGAAGGCGGACTGAACGGTAGACTGGCCAGCGAGGCAGCAGACGCGAAATCCGCGAAAGCTGTCACGATGGACGGTGTATCGAACACTCTGCCTGTGAGTTGTACTAAACAACCACAGACGATTACAAACAAACGCACATACAAGGACAACCCTGTTTTTTCTAACTTTTTCAGGGGACAAAAACAATAACAAAATACACGACAAATCCTTAAATAACCTCCCATTCCTCATACCAAAAAATCCAAACCCATTAATAATACCGATTCGGTAAGGAGTAAGGGCTGATATATTTCCACAATTATTAAGTCGTGGGTGTATTGTGCAAATGGTGGGTATCCTTACCCACCATAGTCCGGAGGGCTCTCGCGAAAAACCCGCCGCTCGGGTTCGGTAGAGTGAAAAATTGTTTATACATACCATGACATGTACATATATTTTATTAAAATGTAAATAAAGATATTAAGTAAGTAAGTTTTTCCCGTCACATAAAAAATAGTGTATTATATTCTCGAGGTAAAATCTAATACTTTTTTCCCTTGTATAATAAATAACTATTATGCACATTTGTACAACTTCTTAATCAAGAGTTTTTCCCCACAACCTTCATCAAGAGTCAGCTGTTCTAATCCAGATTTCAGACTTTTAACAGGTAACTACAAACACAAAGATAATTATGACTACAAGATCCAGCACATTCCAATAAGCATTTTTTAACATTATTTATTTTTGTTCATTGTTTCACACAAGGTTGGACTTTGAAATAATTATCAATATTACAGTGAAATAGCTTCCGTAAGCAATATTTTTAACCCTTTCACTGCGGCGCGCATCATTTTCAATGTACCGTGGTGTGCGGCTGCCATGGAGCTAAACCTATCGGAAGCTGCTGTCTTTATAGACGGTCCCCGCACTTCAGTTGCCACTTTCTGCTGCGGCTCCGGACGGCTCCCGCAGTGAAAGGGTTAAGATTGCCATTTGACCTATAATTGCGGTTTCTTAACCGTGTTTCAACCCCTTTTGAATTCCTTATCATATCAATGATGAATGATCGTTATTGATATCCTCTTGAAACTTTAAAGTCTGATAAGTACTTAACCCGTGGAATTTTCCGTACCTCCATCCTTCCAAAATCTGCATTTAAAGGTTGTGGAGTAAAACACAAATAAAATCGGCTCCCGAGTAAATTTCCGAACCTAAGGTGTCGCTATTGTTGTCTCTGTAGCAGCAAAAAGTCTTACAATATCAAAAGGACAATTCTAGAGAGAAATTCATCAATAAGAATAAGTTGTATATAAATAAAGTAATACATTTAAAAGATGTGACCATAAAAATAAACATTTACCAATATATTTGTTATTAAATATGATTCAACAATAAAAAAATACAATATAAAAGATTTTTTAAACTTCTCGTGGAACTAAAGGTAAGCACATGTTGTAATAAGATCCTTTATCCCAAAAATTGGCGTTTTTCCAACCGCACCAGCCTTTACTTTGAATCGTATGAAGATCTTCGCCACCTGTATAATGAGGATCCAAAATTAGGAATCTTATATCACCAGTTTGTTGGTTGTAATCCACTCCCAATATGGTATGTGCTAAAACTCCACCTCCTACAAATGTTTGACATGTTAAAAAACAAGGAAAGTTTAAATCAGGGAGGTTGTAAAGGGCTGGAGATGGACAACCCTGTTAATTCTATTTTTCAGGGAACAATAACAGAAACTGAACGACACATATACAAACAGGAGATATAGCTATTCATTGATAAAATATAATATGTATGCTGCCAACATCGATTTCACAGTCGATACGCTCTAGTTGTTGATGACAAGTGAAGAGACAAGTGGTGTGAAGTAAGAGAAAGGATAAATCGAAGGATTTGACGGCGGAACAAAACAATTTTATCAATGAATATTATGTAACAATAAAGTATCTTTAACCAGTGCTAAAAATTTTTTTACAGAAAAGAGCCGGCCTACATAAACTAAAAAATCCAAGTGAAATATCTTCTTTTTTAAATTTGTAAGGCTATTCCTATCCCTACTGCTAATTTGAAATAAGCTGTGCTTTGTAATGCCATTTACTTAGGTAATTAGCCTGTCTCGATGCCTTCCCACCTCCCTGGGTCCCTATTTTTGACGGCGGCGCGGGGATAGAGCAACAGATAGAAAGTGGGCGCGATTCTACTGAAATTTTAAAAAACCGTAAACTTGTATTAAAAAAGTGATAGAAACTCCGTTCCCAGTAGAACCATGCGTGATGCCACACATAGAAAAATAAATTGAGAGTTTTTGATTTGAAAATTGAATTGAAAGTGACAGTGAAACAATTTATTTTAATTTTACGAGGTTATGCAAAGAAATATGTATTTTAATGAAATATTATTGTCAGCAAATTATGTAGAATGCAACGAGGCAAGAGAAAATTAATAATAGTTTATATAGTTGCCTGAAAGAAATCCTTTCGGTACGTTGTCAAACAAAATTTGTTAAAATTTTCTGTATAAATAAAACTACGTGTCAATCGCTAATAGAAATTGTAGTTTTATTATTGTGATAACAAAATATATTTAACACTTTAGTTTTATTTATTAAAAAAGAGCAATATTTAACACAAAAATATGAATAAGATGAAAAACATTATCCGTATACATATCAGTTCTTGATGATATAATATCATTTTTTTTTTTGTTAGAACGTTATTTGCGTTATCCATTATTTTATTAAAAAACAATGTCAGACAATTAAAAGACAAAAAGAATTAAAAGGGGATCAATTACATTTTGTATCTTCGATGTCTTTCAAATTTTCTTCGTGTTTGGCAACAAAGTAAATGATTTGTATGAGGTTCTTCACCATCCTTACATTTAAAAATAATGTTAGCAATAGAACAAAAACGATTAACTTTTCCCATGGATCACTATAATCTATAAACGACATAAATAAGGCCCCTGGTTTCAATCTTGTCGTCATAGAATGGCAAATACCTACTTGATAAATGTAAAAGAATAGTAAATGCTAAATGTTAAATTATGAAATTAGTGGTGAATATTTGACAAGTGTCAAATAATGTTACATTTTGACAGCAGTCATAGAACACTAAATAAAATATAAGTACCAGATGTTTACGTAAGGGGCCGTTCAAGTATTACGTAAGCACTATGGGGGGGGGCGGCGGAGGGATCTTTGTTTTGCTTATTTTGGATGGCATGGGGGGTAGGGGAGTCTAGATGATGATTACGTCATCGGTAGTTATTTACTTTTTTACACGAATGGCAACCCTTACATTGTCTATGCTTGAAAACGAAACGCATTTTCGGGGATTCCCGCAAATAATGCATATTTTTAGGCACTCGCTTCAGAACCGAGTAGGGGAATTACCGCGCGCTATTCACTTGTCTAAATTTCCTCTGTCAGTGTATTATTTCGGTTCGATACTATAGCGAGTAAACGTATTGTAAGCATAGCAATGCAAATTTGTGTTACCGTTGATCCATTAGCCAAAGTTTAATGTTTAAATAAGATCCAAGTTATACCAAAAATTGTTTGAAAGTTTTAAAAAATGTATAAAAGTTAACGAAGTGTGGAGAAATTATAAATTATAAGCAAAGTCCGACAAGGAACTAGATATTATTGTATCTAAGAGAATTGAAGAAGAATTGCAAGCGGCGACTAAGAATAAATCCAATCTACTACATTTTTTCTCCAAGGTGAGTGACGAAATCATTTTAGGTACCTATGAGTACTAGAAATATTAGAAATCGCCAAAAAGTTTCTCTTTACATTTTGTAACAATAATTTAGACATTTTATGATTAGAAAATATTATGGCCTATCTCAAAGTATAGAGGTAATATTCATTATATAGATTTTTTTCTTACGATTGACTCCGTCAATTGGTCACAAACCTTCAGGGTGTTAGTTTTCTGTATGTGATGGGTTCGATTCCCGGCTTTAAATAATCTTTAAATGCAGTTTTTTATTGCATACTTTGTATTTATAAGAGAATCTTTAGCAGAACCCATAGAAAGTTTTTATTTTTAGGCAACGACTACCTGTAAACCTGCAGAAAAAACACAAATTATACAGCCAGCTTCAAACATTAAAAAACAGGAAGAAGATAAAGTAAAACCCGGTAATTGAATCACAACAGCAATGCGAAAATAATGATAATGCAGATAAACAGAGAGCAAAACCTTCTCAGGAAGCTATGAAAAATAAGATTGCTCTACTCGAAAAAAATCTGAATGCTTTGTATTCTGCCAGAGATACTATGCCAAGACGGTCTGAAGTTGATAAACAGATAATTAAGTTGCGCGAGGAAATGAAAACAGCAAAACAGTCTTCAAACAGGAAGATTCAAAACGCAGTTGCCCAGAAGAAACACAGGGATGGTATGAAAAGAAAGTTAGAAGATATTTGTCATGAAAATTCAGAAATAAAAAAAAGACTATCTCTGAGGGATTCAGTGGAACGTCCTAATCTTGAAAGCATTCAACCATCACTATTGAAAACAATTGCGGATATAGCTTTATTTGGGAGTGCAGCAGATGACAGAAGACGAACGGAATCTATTCGCAGCGTAAAAACTCTTGATCTCACACAAGAATTTGACATTAGTCATTCGGGCTCAAACTGATCACCACAAGAGCCACTTAGATAGCAAGTTCGCTGAAACATCAATCCATTATTTAGAGAACATAGCATCCATACTTGGACCAGATTAAGTATTTTTCATATCTCAAGATGATAAAGCTCGAGTCCCTATTGGCGTAACTGCGGCAAATAAGCAAGCACCTCTTCTAATGCGCATGGAATATAGAATCAAATTGCCTGACCACGATTGGGTAATCGCTGAGTGTCATAAATTAATACCATCTGTTTATGCTGGTATCAAAATCACTTCCAGTATGCTAGGACAACCGCAAGCCGTTGGATATTCTGAACCAACATACATCGCTATTCGAAGTGGAAAGCATAGTTCATCTACTGCTAATACTCATGCTCAGGATTTCGAGACGCTTCTCGAACTTGAAGGGTTTCGACCATTAGCTAAAACTGACCATGAACTAGTAAAACCAGTGGTAATCATGACGGTTGATGGAGGGCCAGATGAAAATCCGCGTTATCAAAAAGTCATAGGGTTTGCTATACAACACTTTAAGCGACATGATCTCAAAGCATTGTTTTTAGCTACCAATGCTCCTGGAAGAAATGCGTATAACAGAGTAGAGCGCAGAATGGCTCCTCTTAGTCTGAAACTGGCTGGTTTAATATTGCCTCATGACCATTTTGGTTCTCATTTGGATGAACGTGGCGTTTCAATTGATGAACATTTAGAAAGATCTAATTTCGAATTTGCAGGAAATGTATTAGCTGAAGTATGAAGTTCAATGGAAATTGATGGCTATAATGTTACTGCAAAATATGTTGGGGTAGGTGAACAAGATCTTCCTGATTTTCCAGACATTAAATGGTATTCAGAACATGTGCGTGAAAGCCAATACTTGCTTCAAATTGTAAAATGTAGAAATACAGAATGCTGTCGTCTAAGAAGTGGCCTATTCAGATTACTAGACAACAGGTTTCTTCCACCACCTGTAAAAGTAAAACAAACAGTTGATGACTTGGTTTTGGATGAAGGGGGGCAATTTCTTGATCTTCCAGTCAATTTAGCTCTACGCTTAAGTGCTTCACTCAAAGATTTCCTGCAAATGCCCTACGATTATTTTTGTCCGACAGTAAAATTGAGGCTATCAAGTCGAACATGCAAAACATGTGGTCTTTATCATGCTTCCGTCAAGTCACTAAATCGTCACATCAAGAAGATCCATAAAAAAGTAGGTAAGTTAGACCTGTAAGAGTCGCTGCTCGTCGTGCTAATAAACTGATGTGCATTATTCAAAATTAAGAACACCATGATGTTGAATGGCTCGATGAGAACGACGTAGACATTCCAAAATCGGATGAAAGTGAGCAGACTCACAACACTGAGCAGCAATCCAATGTCATCGAAAACTTAGAATCATAGATTCGGGTTTCATGGACTGAAGACTATTAATTTGAATTTAATATGTGTACCAAAAATTTAAAATAAGTTTATGTTCATGAGATTATATTTTTGTTTCTTACTCTATGTTGAATACTGTAAAATCTAATCTCTATCCTAAATCTATTTTCTTATTTTTAAAATTAAAATTATAATATAAAAAAAATACGTGTAGCACTCGGGGACTGCCGCGGTAAAGCTATTGCATAGCATTTTTTATCAACTTATGCAATTATAATTATTTATTTTATTTATGCAGTATTTTTTTTTTCTTTGATATTAATTCAAGTTTTTTCTTTGATATTAATTCAAGTTTTTTCTTTGATATTAATTCAAGTTACTTTTTGAGCGTGGTGACCGATAAGAAAACAATTTTTTTTTATTGAATAAATGAGAAGTTAATATTGTTTAAAATATTTTTATTATCTTACAATACATGTAGGTTATTCAGGAATTAGATATAGGTTTGTGGTAACTGAAATAAGAAACATAAGTTTGAGACTTGATATCCTCTAAATATCTGGAAAATACCGCGTCAATAGTGGTCCCATATTTTGTTGTGGATTCTTGTGGATCATTATTAATTTTCAAATTCAATTTTTCCGAAATTGTGTCTAAAAGAGATAGAATCAGTTATGAGCAGTTAGCAGCTAGTCTACACGCATACGTCTAGTCGCACGCACACAAACACTGTGCCGAAGTCTGCCGAACTGAAACGACGTTAGACGATGCACGGCTTTCAACGCCGCACCGCACCGGTCGGAGTGGGGGGTGTTGGGTTTATTTTCGTTACGGAATTTATTTTTCGATTTTTTGACTTTTAGATTTTTCGGTTTTTCGATTTTCCATTTTTCGAGGGTGTTAGGTTTATTTTCGTTACGGAATTTCTTGATTCGGTCGCCGCGCTCAAAGCCCGCGATAAAATCTATGCAATAGCTTAATAATGAAATAGTTAACACTGATAAAATAAAAATTAATATTTTATAAATCTCGCAAAAAAAATTAATATCTAATACTTACGCCAGCCGGGAACTTTGTGATACCAATTTATTAGAAGCCAGAGAAAGCTCTTCTAGTTCTTGTATTACATAAACGTGCTCAAAGCCCGCGATAAAAGCTATGCAATAGCTTAAAAATACATTTATAATTGAAAAATGTTTACGTAAGCATGGGGGGAGGGGGTAAGAGCTCTGCTTACTTTTGCTGACAAGGGGGATGGGGGGGGTCAATAATTCTAATAAATCTGCTTACGTAATATAAAAAAAAGCACTAAACAGTAAGTGAAGTGAAAGATACTATCGTAAATGTTTGAGAGAAGAAAAACTAATATAAACGATCATAGAATATACAAAAAAATGCAATACAAACCTATCATTACGGGCGATCCGTGGTTTTGAAAGTGACTAACTAATTCTTGACCCTTCGACGCCATATCATCACCAGAACTAACGTACAAGATCTTATTTTCTACTCCTAATAAGGTGTTCAATACGAAATTTACTTCAGTTGAACCTATCCATTGCCTTGAACCCACGAAACATGCAGGTTTGTCTTTGATGTTCACCAAACATTGTTGTATTTCCGCAAAAGTTGGGACGTCCCTATCAACGAAACCTTAAAAAAATTAAATTTGACAGGACAATGTTAAAGGGTCAGGTATTTGAAAATTTGATACCAACCTTGCAATTTGAACCAAGATGCTAAGGTTTGTAAAGATCTATATGCGCATCCCCATCCATTATCGTCCATTTTATTTTGACAATAGTGGTAATATTCATATTTTCCTCTAACTAAAGCTATAACTCCTCCTAAAAATAACATGTGTTAGTAGAATTGAGCAGGATTTTAAAAATTGTTTAAAGTTTACCATTATCAGTGGCTCTAATACCCTCATGTGGATTGATTAGTGGTCCGTTTGGTTTCTTATCAAACATGTACTGGTTGGATCTTCTAAAACAAGGTGCAGATGTTTCTAGTAACAGTTGCTTGTGTAAAAGCAGACGAAGAATTTCTAAAAAAAATTAAATAGTAGCTACACACTATGTAGTAACATAAAAAAGCGCTAGTGAAATATAGATAAAATTAGGTACAAGAGAAATCAACCAAACAGATCAAACGTTTATGTAAAATAAGCCTTCAAGGTAATAAGTGTAATTAAAGTGCAGTTAAATATATTTATAAAAATTACTTAGAATGGGTATCAATTTAGAAGGATGTACAATGGTCATAGTGAGACCTAAGTGCCCTGGAGCAACCCGCCCTTCACACATTACAGATACTTTTGATGGAACGGTAGTGATTTAGAATTGTTTTGTAATATACGTAAATAGTTCTTTTATGTTTATGCAGATTTGGAATTCTGAAAATGAAAAATCCCGAATAGCTTTGGAAACATTCATAGATAAAAAAATAATCATTAAATATTTTAATTTAATTTTAAAAAGAATTATTTATGTATTATTGTAATAAACTCATGTCTTTTAAAATACATTGACAGGCTTAAACAAACAAAATAAAGTGAAAGATTTATCCCAAAAGTAAAACAAGACAACAAAAAGCAATACAAACAAATAAATAACAAGATGGTGCACCTACATATAAAGTCAGCCTCCCCTATTATTTCCAAAACAAGATGGGATATTTTTATGCAACGAAAACAGAATGAACTATAACCAAAGATACTTTATGATAAAACCTTAATTGTGATGCTTACAATAGTTCTTACAAGGATTATAGATTTATGTTATTTATTTATATGACAAGTAGTGCTAGAAAATGATTTGAATTTGAATAAGGAAAATATTATACAATCACAAGAACAGAATATGGTTGGATCAGCAAATAAAATGGAAGTAGGGGACATATATGTATCACAAATAAATAGATACAGCAGTGGGACATGATGGATTTAGGAATCTGGGACAGCTTGAAATGTATAGATATAACTTTCCATCATATAAACAGTTGATACCGAATGCACACCCTGTACTACAGCAAATGTTTTGTTCCATCGTCTGATAATATTTTGGCTGATGTTTTTTTTTATCCCACAATAGACATAGGCAGGTGAAATAAAAATTAATGGTCGGAATTTTTTTTATTATGTAAAATTGTCGAATAAAATACGATTAAATTTTAATACCAGTATACCGTAAATGTGACTCAATTAACTTTTTAACTTTGAAATAACTTGATTAGTTGTATTATGATACAAGTTTTTATATTGACATTTAATTCATGAGCAATTTTAAAAGCACGACGAGTATCAATAACAAATACATAACACAATAATCTAGAAACATGAAAGCAATTAGTTGTATCTTATAAAGCAGTTTTCATTGAAAGCATCGTTTCTCTACTTATTTTTATTTTTTAGTAAATATATAGAAATTTTTATATGAATATATTGTGATATTTGTTTATTTTAAACAACAGTTTATTTATTAATAATTTATATAAACACTTATTTATATTTATTTTATAACACTACTATTCTAATTTATATATATTTCGAATGTCTTTGAATCGCTCACTATTTATATTCACCACTGTCTATCTACTAATGATCCCCGCTTGATCCTCCACCAATATTTATATACGATTTAAAACTTTGCCGAAGGTACTAGAATATTCACCAATTGGAATACACTAGAGACATTATCCCGTTCTTTCTCGAATAGTAATCTAAAGCTCCTCCGCCATAGTCGTTACATATGTTTGGTCTTAAAGGGTTTAATTATGTATGATAATCGGACAAATAAGACAGAGAGGGACTTGGAGGATTAGAGCATGACTGAATAATGAAATGGCTCACATTACAATATTTATAGCAGGTCAGAAAAGATTTAAAATACTAATAGTTCTAGAGCCAACGTGTAGGTTTGTGTGTTTCACAAAATTCACCTCCTCCGCCAATTTCGCTGGGCCATTTTTTTCTTCTAAATTTTATTGTTTTAATGTGATGCGTAAGTAGGCATAATCGTGACTTATTTTCCAAACCGGATGCTTGTACCAAAGTAAGATAAACCTGACAGCTTTTCTGAATTAGTGTCCAATAAGAATATTGATCCGGTTTTAGTGTCCAACGAAAAAAAGTAAAAAAATAAATAATGATTTTATATAAACGCAATAACTTGACAAAGTATTTTTGACCAGGTTTTAAGGTCACAAATCTCTACTTTGGCTGTAGGACTAGAAATGCTAAAAGCACAAATGCAAAATTTTAAAACAAAACAAAATGTAAAACAAGGTTACAAAATACAAAACAGTAGGTTTAAAATGGTAACAACAATCAAGGTTTTAAACAACGATTATATAACATGTGTATAACAAAATTAAAATCGAGTACGAAAATGTTATAGGGAATTTAAAGGAGAAACTAGACGAATTAGCAAGTTCTAATAAATGTGCAAATGGTAAAAATATTTTAATGATTAGTGAGTTAAACGGAATGAAATTAAAAATGAAGAATTGACAGAAACGATTCAAAGACTATCGGAAGGTAATAAAGTCTACAATTTGCAATTAAATAAACTGCAGGTTGTTATTAAAAAGTATGGAAAACAAACGCATACTCAAATCAATAATGGTAAAAAAAGATACTTATATTAAATGATGAAAGAGGTAGAGGTCTAGATGCAGAAATAAGGAAACGTTTTAATAAAGAAGATGCTTTGGTAGAAATGACCATCAAACCTGGAGCTCAAATGAATAAAATTGTGGACGACATTGAAAACTTAACCAAAAGCTATACTTCGAATGATCATGTAACTGTCCTAGGAGGGAGTAAATTCTAAAATAAAAAAATGTACTCAAACAAAAATGTAATATTTTTATCAGTTCCTCTAATAGAAAAGAATTGTAAACAAATACTAAAATATAATCTGAAACAGAAGGAATTTTGATATGCTGTGGATTGGTATCAAAAAAATAATTTTGCCTACTTAAATATTAATAACTCTGCAGGTTATAAAATAAATAATTTTGAAATATAATGGCCGTTAAAAAATAAAATGAAAAAAAAAATGTATGACAAAAATTTGACATTCATAAAGTTTTCAGAACAAACCACAACACATAAAAATGAAAATAATATGTCGGGAGTTAATGAAGTCGTAATAATTGAAACTTCTCTATGTGATGAGAATATTAATGAAACTGATAACAATGTAACTATGCTTAATAAGGGTTTTTTAGACATGGGACCGACTCAATGCCAAATAGGACAAATAGACTAACGAATAAATCTGTAAATACGATAAAGGTCGTTTATAATAGGGATAATTTTGCAACATCATCTGCAATAATTTTATAATTATAAATGTAAATAGGCAATCTACTGTTAACAAAAAAAATAGAATTGAACTTTTACTGAATAAATATAATCCTGACATTCTTTGTATAACTGAATGTTGGTGTAATAATACCTCGTTGCCTTTTATTAACTTTAAAGATTACATTTTCGCCGATTCATATGTTAGAAACAACAAAATTCATGGTGGATCACTTTTTTTAATAAAAGAAACCATTACATATAAGACAGTAAATTTTATAAATAGCCTATATTTGAAATTAAATATTTAATGATTTACCTCTTCCATTTTGTGACTGGCTATATGACAAAGAGTATGCCAAAAAAAATACATTTCGAAAGCTGTGCTATATCATTTTCTGTAAAGAATATAAACTCTATTATTATAAATGTCTACAGACCTCCCTCTGGAAAAATTGTCATATATTTTAAATCGTGTTGTTGTTTTTTATGATGCTGTATTTTTATGTGGATATTTTAACATTGAATTTCTAACAGATTCTTATAATAAGCATCTCCTTACTGATCTTATTCAGAGTTTTATCCTAACTTGTCAGAATCACGACCCCACGCGGGTATGTACAGATAAAAACAACCGCATTACTAAATCTAAAATAGACTATTTTTTAACAAATTTTCCCATATATACTGAAAGTGTGGTTGATTTTAATCTAGGTATCATTTTGGCTTGGATGTTATGCTTGGAGACATCCCATGTGCACTAAGCAAAATTAACAATGAAATAGTAATTTTTAGAGATCTTTCTTTTACAAACTTAGCAAATTTTAATGCAAAACTAAATAATGAAGATTTTTCGCCCGTGTATGAATTAGACAGTACTGATGATGGTTTTGATACATTCTTTAGAATCATTTCATATCATAACTTGTCCCCCTTATCAGAACATAAATGGTTATAAACAGAACATCAAGGGGTAAACAAAAACATTATACATACAGGTTATGATCTTAAAAATTTGAATTGGCTTACTAAAACTTGTGGCAGACAATAGTTAAGAAATTACAAATCTTAAAAAAAAATTATCTTCAATTAATAAATGTAACTAAAAAGGTTCATTATCAACAATTGTTAGAAGACAAAAATCCTCAACAAAAACAAAAAATTATATGGAATACAGTACACTCTATAAGCAGCAAAAGCAAATCTATAAAGCCAATACAGATCAATGTTGACAAAAAACTGTAGATAATTGTTTTGCTGACTATTTTTCAACCATAGCTAGTAACACTGTTAGAGATAATTTTGACAATACAAATTTTCATAACTACACAACCATGCATGTAAAAAATACATTCTTCTATGATGGAACAGATTCCCAAGAAGTAACTGCAGTTGTTCAGATTTGAACATTTTTCTTTATATTCACCTAATAAATTAACATCCTGTATACGAAATTAATTCTTTTATTTATTTAAAATGTTTAATTTCATACGGCGTTCCAATTTCGTATCTAGTTCGATGTGTAAATTATAATATTAAAAATGCTGACTTATAAAACATTGAACTAGAGAGACTGAAATTGGAATAAAAATATTTTTCTAATGTACATTTAAATAATTAAATAATATTAATTGTTATTGTATATTGTTTATTCTGTGATAATATAAATGTAAATGCAAAACGAAAAATAAACAAATTGACTAAGAACATGTGGTAGTTTACTTTACAAAATTATCTCT